CCTGAACTGTTGATACAAGGCAGGATGGATCCATGCTTTCATGTTGTAGACGCCAAATTCTGACCATACCATCCGAATGTCGCAGCAGAAATCGAGACTCATCAGACCAGGCAACGTTTTTCCAATCTTCTATTGTCCAATTTCGATGAGCTTGTGCAAAATGTAGCCTCAGTTTCCTGTTCTTAGCTGAAAGGAGTGGCACCCGGTGTGGTCTTCTGCTGCTGTAGCCCATCTGCCTCAAAGTTCGACGTACTGTGCGTTCAGAGATGCTCTTCTGCCCACCTTGGTTGTACCGGGTGGTTATTTGAGTCACTGTTGCCCTTCGATCAGCTCGAACCAGTCTGGCCATTCTCCTCTGACCTCTGGCATCAACAAGGCATTTCCACCCACAGAACTGCCGCTCACTGGATGTTTTTTCTTTTTCTGACCATTCTCTGTAAACCCTAGAGATGGTTGAAAATCCCAGTAGATCAGCAGTTTCTGAAATACTCAGACCAGCCCTTCTGGCACCAACAATCATGCCACGTTCAAAGTCACTCAAATCACCTTTCTTCCCCATACTGATGCTCGGTTTGAACTGCAGGAGATTGTCTTGACCATGTCTACATGCTTAAATGCACTGACTTGCCGGCATGTGATTGGCTGCTTAGAAATTAAGTGTTAACAAGCAGTTGGACAGGTGTACCTAATAAAGTGGCCGGTGAGTGTATATAATTTGTTTACACTAAATTTAATCACAGTTATCACAGTTTGGTGAGCATAGTCTGTACTGTAAGTGTTTCCTGTGAAACAGTTCATATTAGAAATACATCGTACAATGTGATCTCTGGTAATAGGAGATAGAAGAATGGTAACACTACTTCTAGAGGGGCATTATCACAGGAAAGGTATTAAGGTAAGACACAGGTGCTGAGTCGCAGATGTGTGAGATTGACTGGCAGAGAGGCAGCTTTGCAGCATTTGCACAAGAAGAAACTATAGAAAGAAAAAGTTTCCCATCAGAGATCTATGGACTGAGCTGCACTAAAGTGAGCAGAACTACACATTAGAAATAAATGGGTCAAGGCACCCGAACAAGGTACCAGACATCTATGTATTGTTTACTCTGAACACACATTTACCCCATTTGTTCCCCTAAGTAACTTGACATACAGCAGTTACGGCAACATGAAAGGGACATTTCATGCATGTAGATCTGCTGTATCAACAAATCAACAAAAAGGCAGGTACTGTTTGTAACATCAACATCTCCACAAATCTGAAAAAAGCAACATAAAAATAAATGTTGCTTCCAGTCTGAAAAAGTACAAAACATTTAGTGAGTAGATTCATACAGGTCATTTCTGGATAGTTTCATACTATATATACAAAAAAAGAAACAACAGCACTGCTTCATATTAAGCAGGATTCACACCAGTATCACATTTTTAACTTTACTTTTAACTCTTTTGGTTTTATTAAAGGAAATATCAGATTTTCTCAGGTGCCAAAACAAAATGTAACAGCTCTGAAAAGTCTCACCAGAGAGCAGAACATAAAGTTAACATGACTATAACGGCTGAATGCGGTGATTTCCATGTTGCTCAGCAAAACGCTTCACATAATGTATTTAGATCCAATGCCTTTTTGCGTTTTGATTTGAGTAAAACCAAACTGATAGTCTCTTTTCTGTCATAGTTGACCACATATGTCTTTATGAGCCCGAAACATCAGGCCTTACTAACATCTTAGTTAGAGAAATAACGTTCCGCAACCTGATTTTTATCATCTCAAAATCAGCATTGCAGCTATGCTAGTAACATTGTGCTTTCATTATGATTTCATTTCTCTATAGATGGTTAATCAGTTTTTACCTGTTTCATCCCGTGTCTCCTCTCCCCATGACCCCTGGCTCCCTCGCTTTGCCCCATTCGGTTTTTTAAACAACTCCATTTCAATCGCTCTCGCGTCATCTCGTGCTGCATTCACTGCAGTCCGACATTGGAAATTAGCGGTCGTAATTCTCAAATGATCCATAATTTATAAGCCTCGCCACCCCTACTGCCAACTGGGGTGGCAGCAGGGGTGGCAAGGCTGTCATTTAGGGAGGCAGTTGCCCCCCTATGCCACCCCAGTAGATCCGCCTATGTCCACAGGTAACCTTTGAGCATGAGGAACATCTGTCATTAACATAAACAAACTGTAATCGATCAGATAGATCAGATTTAAACCAGTCTAGAGCTGTTCCTTTAATTCCAACAAAATATTCAAGTCTTTCTAAAAGAATATTATGATCAACTGTATCAAATGCAGCACTGAGATCCAACAGGACGAGCACAGATACAAGTCCATTATCTGAGGCCATGAGAATATCATTAGTGACTTTCACCAGAGCTGTTTCAGTGCTATGATGAGCTCTAAAGCCAGACTGAAACTCTTCAAAAAGTTCATTATGGTGGAAGTGATCGCACACTTGTTTGGCAACTACTTTCTCAAGAATTTTAGATAAGAAAGGAAGATTGGTATAGGTCTATAATTGACCAAGTCATCTGGGTCAAGAGACGGTTTCTTAAGCAGAGGTTTAATTACAGCAACCTTAAAAGCTTTAGGTACATATCCCTGGAACAGAGATGGATTAATCACATCTAAAATGGACTAGGAGATCAAAGGGAATACCCCCTTAAATAACCTGGTTGGAACTGGATCTAACATCCAAGTTGAAGGCTTAGATGAAGACAATAGTTTTTCTAACTCAGAAAGTTCAACTGGATCAAAGCAGTCTAAACCCGGTTCAGATTCCATGACTACCTCAGATGCTGCCCTCCAGAGACAAACCAATCACAGATAGAGGAGTGCTAATGATCTTATTTTTAATAAGATCAATCTTATTTATAAAGAATCCCATAAAATCATTGCTGCTAAGAGCAGGTGGAATGGACGGTTCAACAGAGCTATGGCTCTGGGTGAGTTTGGCAACTGGATTAAAAAGAAATCTAGGATTATTCTTATCCTCTATTAATGAGGAGAAGTATGCTGCTCTTGCTTTACAAAGGGTCCTCTTATACAGGAGTATACTATGTTCCAGTTTAGCCTGGTGAAATTAAATTAGTTAACGAATTTATGATTCCCAATTAAGGAACTCGGGTTCCAGTAACTTGAGATTTATTCATCTAATATATGGATAACCTGGGATGAACTAGTGTTGCTGAATGACTGGACTGGACAGTTTTAATGCGGTCAGACCAAAGCATTACTCAAATATATTTTAAATATTAGGTTCAAAGATTTAATTAAAGTCAGTGGCAATAGGAAACAACTACTTTCCACAAAACTTTGGCTTCTAAATCCAGGCTTCCTTAAGATTGGAATCTGTGACAAAGCATGAGTTGAAATCGAACAGACTGAAAGAAACGCAGGAACGACGTAATTTATCCATCAAAAGCAGCGCGTAATTCTGGACTAGCTGTTGAAATCCAGTTATTCCCACCAATTTAGTGACTTAGGCTAGGCTATTAGCAGAGCTATTAATTACAACCAAAGAAATTTCTGTCTCTGTTTATTCAAATATCACCAAAAGGAGGGTGAATCTGACCTGAGTGATAAACCATTCACTGTATGAAGCACAAATGACGGCAGCTTGAACAATGATGTCTTTATTTCTAATAATCCAGGATTGCAGAAATCTAACACCTATGAAAAGCACTACATGCTACTAGAAAATAAAAGACAAGGTAGACTAAATGAATAATTTAAAAGAGGGGAGGACGGGATCCAAGAGTCAGTTCAGGTAGCTTATAAAGGGTATTCAAGAGGAGAACCAATGTCAATACATTCATTAATGTCGGTTCAAAATAGCAGCAGATAAATGATAAACACAGTTTAAGGGGAACGCCTTTTTTTTTTTACATTGGGTCCTTGATTTTCCGTTATTCCATCATGTTCTACTCACCCATATGAGTTTAGTGTCATTTGGAGACGTTCTGAAGATATTCTGTTAGGTTAGATCCAAGTAACGTCTTCCTATGGGCAACGACTTGAAGACACAAACTAAACTGTTCATCCTTTATTCTTTATGGTACGCCAGCATTCAGAACATGGAGGCCAATCACTGTCCCCCAGACATCCGCCGTTAGATTTTTTATATTTCAATCTTTTAAAACAAAGCAGAATGTGTATGACGTCATCCGAATCAAAGCAAGCACAGCTCCATTGTTTTTAAAACATATAAATATAAAAAATGGCGTTCCCTTTTAAAACCATGTAACTTCATTCAGCTAATAACGGTTACAGCTTGGGGTCTTTGTCTCAGCTGCAGCAGTGTTTCAGTTGATCCCCCCCCGCTATCATCGCAGCCCCAACCCCTTCACAGGTGACATAGACAGGTATGGGGCATGCAGGCTAACAAAGAAGCCAAACCACCCCCATTCCAAAGGGGGGGACCCATTCATCTGTTTCTATTTACATGTTTTCTAAACTAAAACCAGGCTTTGATGGGCTGCTGGATAAAACCTGGACCTCAACGCTATTTCTGACATTTTGAATAGAAAAAGCTTCCTGGACGGAAGAGAAACGTCTTCAAACTTGGAAACAAAGTCCAGTGGATTGAATTTGAACTTTTTAAAACTTGACTATGACCTGGATGACTGAGAATCACACTCATAAAAAGAAAGATGAAGCTGAAATGAGGGAGAATCTGTTAATGGTAGACTGTCTGCTCCATGCAGATTATGGCACATGGAGCAGAGAGGACACGATACTGCCACCTTGTGGCTCAAAGGCTGCTCTGAAGTTGCTATTTCATTTCTTACCAATCAAAAAGAGAGAATAATGATGACATTCAGTTTCTCTTCCTGTATTTTCTATTTGAGTTCAGTGGGTTTGGAAGAAGGAACCAGAGGAAAAAAATGGCAACAATTGATTTATTGGTAAAACACAAACAAACCGTTTCCTCACATCTGTAATTAGAAAGTTTGATCACAGCGTGTGCGGAGAAGTCCATCCCATCAGTTGATTGATAAGCCCCCCCCCCCCACCCCAACCCATCAATCACTCCAGTACAGCCTCAGCTTCTCAGGTGCTTCTTCATCAGGCAGAGCCTGGATCAGCACAAACCCAAAGGTTTCCACAGCAGTTAGGGCGGAGCCATTAGGCCACGCCCTCTGGCTTTACGGCCCTAAACATCCTGCAGAGCGACCCGTCTGTGAGGGCAGCCCCCGCCTGGCCCCCCTGGAACAATCAGAACGAAGTCCCTTCAGCTGTCTTGATGTATTCTTTGAAGTCAGTGGAGACGTTTAGCATCGAACAGACCTGGAAGAAAGAGGAACCAGTGAGAACAGCAACTAAGGAACCTTCATAGTTTCATCCTATTTCAGAATTTCAGACAGATTATAAAGACTTTCTGGCTGCAGGCCTTTAATCACAGGAAGGCAAAGAGCAGCAGGTCTTCAGGCTTTAAGATCTTCCCATCATCTCAGGACAATAAGCAAACATGAGCCTGAACCGTCATGCATGTTTAACAACAGTTAGCACCATCAACTCCCTCAGCCTCTAGAGGCTAGCTCCAGCCAGGCGTAGCCTTCTCTCCTCTGCTGCTACCTTCTTTCTCCTGCTGAGGTTCCTTAGAACCAGAAGGAGGCACAGCCTGGTTCCTGTTCTGATTTCCCACTGCTCCTAACTGAGTTCCAGAATACCGTCACACCTTCTATCAGTCATCCCGGTGATTCCACCCCCAATGAGGGACAGCAGCGCCCCGAACCGGGTCCCAGACAGCGTCCGTCAGCCAGACGCAGCGTCTGGAGGGGGCGGAGCTATTACCCATAATGGTTTCATCTCTGGGAATTCAGTGAACCCAGGAATGCCGACAGTTTTCCCAGTGGCTCATTGAATCTATGTCCGTGATGATGAGCTGAATCCATGATGGCGGAGCCTTCAAAGCCAGAGGAACTTCAAGGTGACTAAGAGGGAGGAAACTGGCCAAAGGTTTGGGGTGAACGCAGCTTAACAGGGCTGCTTGGTGCTCGATGGTGTTCCCATTTCACACAAACAGATTGGAACAAGACTAGTACTGCCTGGGATATCAGAGGCCATCCCACCAATAACACCACTCAGGGATGGGTCACGCTGCTGAGGGATGATGATGATGAAGAACTCGTCGTTCAGGCAGAAGGACATGCATAGAAAGAAAAACAGGTACTTTTTTTTTATCGTTTGAACAAAAGCCCAGAGAGTCTTAGGAGCTAAAACCTGAAATTCCATGGGAATCAAAGCAAGTCCAGCTCCCAAACTATAAATTGGAAATAAAATTGTTTTAATTCTGTGACAGAAAGGCACTGAGGGATATTTTTCAGGCGGAACCCCTATTTTAAATGTCACCATGTCTGATTTATAGGTGATTAAACAAAGAAAAAATATTTAGCCTTGTCCAACACTGAAAAACACCATGGAAGCTCAGCTGAAACTCTGGATGAAACCTCAGACTTTATAGATCCTCATCTTGACTATAAGTCAAGCAAATTTGGACTGACCAATAGTGCAAAAATTACCAAAAGTGCAAAACTGCATTTTTCTGCTCATAAAAGTGAATCTGATCAGACAGATATGCTGATTTCCATTAATGGAGACCTTCTGCATGAGATAAAGCCTTTGCTCCTAAGATTTGTTTCATTGAAATTTACCAATAAAATCACCAAACTGAACAGAAAATAAGAATAACAGAGCAGCTTATGTAACGCATAACGGTTACATCCCCTGAAATGGTCACACAATGACCTCTGACCCCTCCTCGGAAAGGTCTGAGCCTCTAGTTTCCAATGATGCCATTAGGGGGCGGGGCTAAAAATTAATACCTGCTGCTGCATTACTCCTGCAGAGTCACACGTCAGGTGGAATTTTAAATCTAATGTTATTTATTTACACAGCTATAAAACAAATAGTACTTGTGAAAAAATGATTTTGAAACATGTTTAAAAATTTTAAAGCCCCATTTGAAATGCGTGTGGATGAAACACCATGTGACTGAGTTTTAGCCATTTCTATGAATAGATGAACATGAGCAGGTGTCTGTTGGGCCCTGTACCGGGCCCGCCGGGCTTAAGGGGAGGGAGATACCCAGAGATTATAGGAACTTTGCTCTCAATCTGCAGGTTTACTAGTGGTTCCTAGAATTTCTAAAAGTAGAATGGGAGGCAGATCTTTTAGTTATCAGGCTCCTCTCCTGTGGAACCAACTACCACTTTTAGTCTGTGAGGCAGACACCCTGTCTACTTTTAAGGCTAGGCTTAAAACTTTCCTTTTCCTTTATCTCTATAGTTATGCTGCTATAGGCTTAGAATGCTGGAGGACATAGGGACCCCTATTTCATCATTCTGCTTCATTCTATCTCTATTCTCCCACTGCAGAATCTGTTAGTTCAATCTCTAACGTTCTGCTCTCTCTGCTTTTTGCTTCCTTTTCTATGTCTGCTTCTGTCTCATTGAACCCCAGTCGGCCTCAGCAGATGGCCGCTCACACTGAGCCTGGTTCTGCTGGAGGTTTCTTCCTGTTCAAAGGGAGTTTTTCCTCTCCACTGTCGCTACAAGCATGCTTAGTGTGAGGGATTGTTGAAGAGTCAACGAGTTGATGCAATCAGCTGGTTTTCCTTAGATAGAAAACTTTGAATCAATCTGACTGGATGATCTGGTGAACTGGAAAGTTCCTGAGATGACATGATGTGAATTGGAGCTATAGAAATAAACTGAATAGAATTGAACAGACAGCCCTACTGCCGACTGTAGTGGGGGAAAAGTATTTAAATATTAAACCTAATTAAATAAACGGAGATTGATATACACTATATTGCCAAAAGTATTTGCTCACCTGCCTTGACTCACATATGAGCTTAAGTGACATCCCGTTCCTAATCCATAGGGTTCAATATGACGTCGGTCCACCCTTTGCAGCTAGAACAGCTTCAACTCTTCTGGGAAGGCTGTCCACAAGGTTTAGGAGTGTGTTTATGGGAATTTTTGACCATTCTTCCAGAAGCGCATTTGTGAGGTCGCACACTGATGTTGGACGAGAAGGCCTGGCTCTCAGTCTCCGCTCTAATTCATCCCAAAGGTGTTCTATCGGGTTGAGGTCAGGACTCTGTGCAGGCCAGTCAAGTTCATCCACACCAGACTCTGTCATCCATGTCTTTATGGACCTTGCTTTGTGCACTGGTGCACAGTCATGTTGGAAGAGGAAGGGGCCAGCTCCAAACTGTTCCCACAAAGTTGGGAGCATGGAATTGTCCAAAATGTCTTGGTATGCTGAAGCATTCAGAGTTCCTTTCACTGGAACTAAGGGGCCAAGCCCAGCTCCTGAAAAACAACCCCACACCATAATCCCCCCTCCACCAAACTTTACACTTGGCACAATGCAGTCAGACAAGTACCGTTCTCCTGGCAACCGCCAAACCCAGACCCGTCCATCAGATTGCCAGATGGAGAAGCGCGATTCGTCACTCCAGAGAACGCGTCTCCACTGCTCTAGAGTCCAGTGGCGGCGTGCTTTACACCACCGCATCCGACGCTTTGCATTGCACTTGGTGATGTATGGCTTGGATGCAGCTGCTCGACCATGGAAACCCATTCCATGAAGCTCTCTGCGCACTGTTCTTGAGCTAATCTGAAGGCCACATGAAGTTTGGAGGTCTGTAGTGATTGACTCTGCAGAAAGTTGGCGACCTCTTCGCACTATGCGCGTCAGCATCCGCTGACCCCGCTCCGTCAGTTTACGTGGCCTACCACTTCGTGGCTGAGTTGCTGTCGTTCCCAAACACTTCCATTTTCTTATAATACAGCTGACAGTTGACTGTGGAATATTTAGGAGCGAGGAAATTTCACGACTGGATTTGTTGCACAGGTGGCATCCTATCACAGTTCCACGCTGGAATTCACTGAGCTCCTGAGAGCGACCCATTCTTTCACAAATGTTTGTAAAAACAGTCTGCATGCCTAGGTGCTTGAATTTATACACCTGTGGCCATGGAAGTGATTGGAACACCTGATTCCAATAATTTGGATGGGTGAGCAAATACTTTTGGCAATATAGTGTATTCCATTCAGTCGGCCATTTATTTTCCTATCTTTGCAAAGAGAGAACAGACCGTCTTACAGCCCTTATGGCTCAGTAATCAGTTTTACTTCTTTACTTATGTTGATGATAAAACTTTGAAGGTTGTGTCAGAGTCTTGCACGAAAAAAACAAACTGAGGAAAAACATTTTTCACTGGATAGCATAACTAAATATATAAGACAAGAGAAATCTAAATTTTCCGACCACACGACACACTGCAGGGTGTGAGAAAACGAGCGTCATGAGGTCAGAGGATTTCAGTGGATCAGTCAGCCTGAAGCAGGAAGGCATACCTGTCTAAACTTGGCTCTCAGCTTCTCCATGTCCTCCTGAAGCTTAACGGACTGCGGATCCTCCAGAGGAGACCTTTGGATCAAATTCAGCAGAGCTTCTAGCGCCTTCAGACGCTTCCTGGGACAAAAAAAACAAACAAACAGAGACCGGATTTGGCATCAGGAGCTGAAAGAACATTTATCAACCAGGAAGATGTTCATTAGCCGAAAGAGGACTTTGTACAGGAAGATGAAGCCATCCTCCCTGAGATCAGATATCCAGGTATTTTTCCTTATTTAGCGGATACGGCCTCCATGGGAGGAGAAGCTCCCTCCGCTCCTCATACCCAGCTGGCTTCTACGCCGCCGTCGCTTCACCAGCCATGCTTTATTAGTCACAATGGTAAATATTTATTTGTTGTTATTCTGATGATTAAACATTCAGTCTCTGCCTGTTCTGCAGTAACATTAAGTTTAGCTGATTAAATGAAAAGCCTGGCTTAGGCAGACTGGGACATCAAATTAAAGAATGATTACATCTGATCTTTTCCTGACTTTTTTCAACACAGATCCGATTCTTTCCCAGTGACCCAGGCCTCTTGGCTCCGTGGTCCTGAATCGGATACGGATCAGATCGTTTCTACTCTAAAGCCGGGCGTACGCTGTACCAGTTTTTGCCCTTTTTGGGCAGATTCTTCAGCCACATGAGAATGTTTTTTTTTAATCGGGCCGACGTTCAGCCTGATGGTGCGTGGTGTAGAGTCCAGGGGTAACGGGAGGCGATCAGCCTCTAACGACCACCCCCCATCAGGAATCGTAAGGTCGGGGGAAATCAAACATGTGTGAAATCCAGTCGGCTGTTGTCAGGTGGTCGTGGGTAAATCCTGCTGTTGAAGCAGAGCTACCAGCCGATTGACCAGAACCTCCAGCACTGCGCATGTCCAAACCAGGGAGTTCTTCTTCTTCCAGACTGACGGGTTTGACCAGCGCCATCTCTCGGCGCTGAGTCCGATGTTGTTTTTAGACGTGCAGTGTGAGCAGGTAAATCGCATCAGAGCGTTGGGTTGCACAGCGTTAGAACAAACATCGTGAACTGCGAACTTTTAAACCCTTCGGTCTTATCGTACAGTGTGAGCTGTAGCTGCGTGCAACGATGGAAAATATCGTACAGTGTACGCCCGGCTTTAGGAGAACCAGGAAGAATAAAAGCAATCATGGCGGACGATGCTGCAGAGAGCAGACTTTATTCTCTACCTTTATGAAAAGATGGTGTTGTTGATCAACTGGCTGAGGTTGGGAGAGAAACGAAACATCGCTAGATGCACTGCAGTGCTACCATCCATGTTTACCTCGGTAAACACAGAGCATACTCGTGACTTATGACATCACTGCGTCCTCTAATGCGAGTGCGGGACACTAAAGCTGTATGAATGCAGTTCACACAGAAGAAAACGTACAAGACGCAAACATTTGGAAATGTGAACAACCACGCAGAAAAATGGGATTTAGCAAATAAGCATTAAGGCTGCAGTATGAAGGTAGCCTGAAAGACGGTTTCTAAGGCCCTTCAGGGCAAACAAAGATTCATCTTCTGGAAGAATAGATATTAGGGAATGATGACACACCATCCAACATTTGGAAATGAAATGGGGAGGCTGGAAAAGAATCTGTTCACCTTCAGGGTATGAGGCGGTCAGAAAGGCTGAATCCAAACAAGCAAAAGCCAAGAAATGGAAGAACCTCTACTGGATTGATGGATCCGTGGTTGGAGCAGCAATGGGCCAGCAGGGTGGAGGTGGGGTACTGGTGTCTGCTGGTCAGCTAGTTGGTACGATTTTCAGGGCTGGGCTTCCACCAAACATTTCTTCATTTTGGTTTTTTGGTCCCTACAGCATTTAGAAATGTGCTCCATAGATCTGAACACATAGATAGTAAAGGCGTGACCTGCTGCTCTGCTGGTTCACACAGTGAGCTTCTTTTTATTTGGTAACTGGAGCCTGAATGCAGGGTTAGCACGGAGCATTAGGGCCAGGCTGGAGATTTTGCTTTTTTAATTACAAGAATAAAGATGAAATTTTAGGAGAAAGAAGTCATCAGAGCTCAACCCGTTTCAGAAAGAAAGCTTCCAGCTCATTTCAAAAATGTGATCCTGATAATAATCTGATGCTAAAAGACTTAATATTTCCTTAAATTTTCATAAAATACAACTTTATTCTGGTAATATTACGACTTCTGATAATTAGTGATGTTATGAGATGAGCCGAGGGTTTAAGGCGTGTGTAGAGCAAAGGAGGGGGCGTTTCCCCAAAGAGCCTGTCGAGGTTTGCTTCATTTAGGGGAGGGGCCAAAATAGATGACATCGGAGGCCTTGCTACCGCCATGCCATGTCAGCGCTCCAGGAAGCGGTTCAGCTCGCCCAGAACTTCCACAGGAATCTAAACAGCCTCAGTATTCAGTCCAGATGTGGAGTTTGGAGGAGAACTGCTGTCAGTATAATAGATTCTGAGAACAGATTGGTTGTTTTTCCAACCAATCTAGTTGGCTAAAACTATTTTGGTTAGAATAAACTATGTATGTAATGACACTGACTTTCACTCCTGAGGTTGCTGGTTCCAAACCCCCTGTAGACTTTTGTAAGCTGGGATAATACTTAAAAGTATTTTGGCTAATGTGACTCATTAGTGTTGGTTTGCTCAAGTACAAATATAGAAATATAAACTCTGTCATAACCAAAGATTGGTTGAACACAAAACTTCCAACCAGATTAAAACCAAACGGTGGACAAACTGTGATTAAAATGAGTAACGCCTTTCATTCTGCTCATCGTTGCCCAATTTGCACCTTCACTGTCTGCTTGAGCTTATTTCACTAAAATGGCAGAAAAACAGTGAACCTTAAATGATTTTTCTGTTCTAAGACATTTTAGACAAAAAAAACAACAACTTACAAACGATTTTATTATATAAATCAATCATTAACAATTTAAAAGGAAGTTAAATTGGGGGAAAAAACAAGAGAAATAATCCCAGATTATATTACTAAGTGTAGTTCTGCTCTCCACCAGTAGGTGGCGACATGTTGACATGAAGCTTCATGAACTGTGGGGATGGTTAAAGCTATTTGGCTTCATCTCACCGTCTCTACTGATAATGTTACATTATTGTCATGTATAAAACTGATCTGTAGCGTGGCGCTAACCCTCTGTGGTACAGGCTGAACCCTGACGACCTTCAGTTTATTCCAGGTGGAGCCTACCTGGACCTGTCGTCAGCGTTACCCTGCAGCAGACTCCTCCAAGTGACAGCAAATCCATGATAGAAGGAGATCTGTCAAGAAAAACGTCATGTGGAACAAATTAAACTGGAATGAAACTGGAACAACCACAGCAGACCTCTGGTTTCATTAATGACCACTAATCACATCTTCAACATACAAACTAGAGGCATGGCCGTGAGCCGCCTGCCTCTAGGGACAGGATCCATGATCAGAGGAGTTTGTTTCTGTGCTGCATGAAGGCTAGTGATGCTGCTTTAACGGCAAACTCTCATCTTTTGAGGTTTATGGTTAAAATGAGCCTAAAAGGAATAGGAACGTTTTTATTTTTATTTTCTCCTTGTGTCTTTTACCTCTCAGTTATCACTAAACTTATCTGAATTAAATTTAGTTTCAAATTGGCTCTTAGTTTATTTACTGTTTTTACTGCACCTAATGTTTTAAAAAATGATTTAAAATCTTAGTCCATAAGCATCCTCATTTATATTTTCCCCTAAATTTTAACGTTATGATAAATATTTACATTATTTATTGGCTGCATCTAAACTTTCAAAGATATATCCAATTTAAACATAGATATGAAATAATAGAATATAACCTCCAATAACTTTAATGATATCATTGTTCCAGGTCATCAGATCAAACAGTTTAGTTTGTCCAATCAGCTGCCTGCAGTGTCTCTAAATGTCCAGCAGGTGTCAGTATTCTGAGACAGGATCAACGCAGCATTAGTAGTTTGGCTTCTAGATGCCTGATTAACCATCAGTAGGGAGGCTCAGGCCTGCATCTGTAGAACCTGACGGAGCTTCACCTCTGAGGACAGCTTGGCTCCATGGGAGGTGCCGTGTCTACGGCCGTTCTGCAGACCCCTGGCCGTTCCCCTCTCAAAGCCCTCCTGATAACCTTCACCACGGAACCTGCAAAGGAGAAAAAAATTGCTTTTAAAAAAAAATCCGCAATAAGAGAAAAAACCCAGAAAACATTACTTGGGTTCCAAAGAAAGTAAAAAAAACAATCCACTGGACTTTATTTCCAGGTTTGAAGACGTTTCTCTTCCATCCAAAAAGCTTTTTCAATTCTAAATGTCAGAAATAGCGTTTAGTTCTACAGGTGCTGGTCATAAAATTAGAATATCATGAAAAAGTAGATTGATTTCAGTAATTCCATTTAAAAAGTGAAACTTGTATATTATATTCATACATTACATACAAACTCATATATTTCAGATGTTTATTTTGTTTAATTTTGATGATTACAAATGACAACAAATGAAAATCTCAAATTCATCATATCAGAAAATTAGAATATTGTGAAAAGGTTCAAAATTGATGGCCCCTGGTGCCACACTCTAATCAGCTAATTAACTCAAACCACCTGCAAAAGCCTTTAAATGGTCTTTCAGTCTAGTTCTATAGGCTACACAATCATGGGGAAGACTGCTGACTTGACAGTTGTCCAAAAGACGACCATCGACACCTTGCACAAGGAGGGCAAGACACAAAAGGTCATCGCTAAAGAGGCTGGCTGTTCACAGAGCTCAGTGTCCAAGCACATTAATAGAGAGGCGAAGGGAAGGAAAAGATGTGGTCGAAAAAAGTGTACAAGCAAGAGAGATAACCGCACCCTGGAGAGGATTGTGAAACAAAACCCCTTCAAAAATGTGGGGGAGATTCACAAAGAGTGGACTGCAGCTGGAGTGAGTGCTTCAAGAACCACCACACACAGACGTATGAAAGACATGGGTTTCTGCTGTCCCATTCCTTGTGTCAAGCCACTCTTGAACCACAGACAGCGTCAGAAGCGTCTTGCCTGGGCTAAAGAGAAACAGGACTGGACTGCTGGTGAGTGGTCCAAAGTCATGTTCTCTGATGAAAGTAAATTTTGCATTTCCTTTGGAAATCAAGGTCCCAGAGTCTGGAGGAAAAGAAGAGAGGCACTTCATCCACGTTGCTTGAAGTCCAGTGTAAAGTTTCCACAGTCAGTGATGGTTTGGGGTGCCATGTCATCTGCTGGTGTTGGTCCATTGTGTTTTCTGAGGTCCAGGGTCAACGCAGCCACATACCAGGAAGTTTTAGAGCACTTCATGCTTCCTGCAGCTGACCAACTTTTTGGAGATGCAGATTTCATTTTCCAACAGGACTTGGCACCTGCACACAGTGCCAAAGCTACCAGTACCTGGTTGAAGGACCATGGTATCCCTGTTCTTAATTGGCCAGCAAACTCTCCTGACCTTAACCCCATAGAAAATCTATGGGGTATTGTGAAGAAGAAGATGCAATACACCAGACCCAACAATTCAGAAGAGCTAAAAGCCACTATTAGAGCAACCTGGGCTATCATAACACCTGAGCAGTGCCACAGACTGATCGACTCCATGCCACGCCGCATTGCTGCAGTAATACAGGCCAAAGGAGGCCCAACTAAATACTGAGTGCTGTACATGCTCATACTTTTCATGTTCATACTTTTCAGTTGGCCAACATTTCTATAAATCCTTTGTTTTTATTGGTCTTCAGTAATATTCTAATTTTCTGATATGATGAATTTGAGATTTTCATTTGTTGTCATTTGTAATCATCAAAATTAAACAAAATAAACATCTGAAATATATGAGTTTGTATGTAATGTATGAATTTAATATACAAGTTTCACTTTTTAAATGGAATTACTGAAATCAATCTACTTTTTCATGATATTCTAATTTTATGACCAGCACCTGTAGGTTTTATACAGACAATCAATTCAATGCTAATGCAGCTCCTACCAACCAGGAATCCTCTAAAGATGCCATGGCCACTGTCACACTGCTGTTCCTGTGTCTGTCATCATCTGGACGGTAATAATCAACCATAAATCCAACAGGAAGCCTTTCCTTTAATGAGCTGGCCCTGCTGGCTGATTGGCTCTTGATGTGCTGCCTTCAGCCTCGGTTCACTGGGAGTAAACCTCCTAAATATCCTCACACTGATGTTGCCTAAAAATTAGGTTTATCTCTTTATCATTTTAGTTGATCCCTTTAGTTTTCGATTTTATTCATTTAGTTCATCTCGTTTGTTCATCCCTTAAGTTTGGTATGAAAAGTAGACTTTAAACTACCCTAACGGGCGTGTATCCCTTTAGTCATGTACAAAAGAACTATTTAATTACTATCTTTTTGGTTTGTTTTTTGAAGCATATGGAGATCTGACCATGAATTGTTTTTTTCTTTCACATCACTAAAGGGATACACGCTCATGCGTATTGACTATTGGAATGCTGATCTGACACACCGCCGCCATTATTTGGCTGCCGGTTCTGTGCAGCGATCCAGCTGATGTCAGGAACTTACCGTCCAGCTGCTCACAATCAGTGTCAGCTGAAAGGGTTAAAAACTGGAAATGAGTTTTTTCCTTAAACTGTCCCACAGACAGACCTACCATGATGTAGAGAAGGACCTTTCATATTTTCCCAGATTCACTACTGTAAAAATGTCCACAGCTGTTTATTATGTATTCTTAGGGTGGCTGCAGTATTTATATTTAGATTTAGAAAGTCTGTACAGTACAATATAAAACTATACAGTTTCATTTTATTTTTTTAACTCTGTCAGTCTATTATTTTTATAACTTTAAAGGCCCACACTGTGTGATCACTTTTACTAGTGATAACAAGTCATTTTGAAGCCAAACTACTAATGCTGCGTTGATCCCTCTCACAGAATACTGACACCTGCTGGACATTTAGAGACACTGCAGGCAGCTGATTGGACAGACTAAACCAGGGCTAACCAAGTAAACTTTAAACTGTTTAACACTGAAATAAAATTAGGAAATAAAATGCAGTTCTTCCAGCAGTTATAAATGTTTAAAATCCGGTTGGGTCCGGATCTGGGCCGTGGTCCGCTAATCCGTGACCTCTTGTCTAAACTGAATTGATTTGAGGAATTGAAATGAGGATGCTTTAAATCCTTTTTTAAAAACATTAAGTGCAGTAAAAACAGTAAATAAACTAAGAGTCAATTAGAAATTAACTTTATTTCAAGTAATTGAAATTTAAGGTAAGTGATAACTGAGAGGAAAAGGATGACACAATGAGAAAATTAAAATAAAAAGGTTCCTAAACGTACCTAAACATTCTGGATCATTTTACTGATAAACTGCAAAAGATGACTTTTTTTAGCAGATGCTTCATGTTGACAGAAACATTTTAAACCCAGTTTAGTGAATCACTCAGTTAGAAACCCACCTGGATCGGTCACATGACTTTCATGGAAACCACACGCTCTACTGACCTCTATTTATTCACTGGGTCGCTGATTGCCTGGAAAAAGTGAAGCCACCAACCGCCATCTTGGTACTCCCCACTCCCACAGAGACGCGCAGTAAAACTCCTCCCTGTGCAGCATTTGGCTGCAGAAACCAGCAGTTTTCTGTCTGCAGGAAGACGTTCCTCAGGTCATTTCCCAGTCAGTGGATGAACTAAGCAGTAAATCCATCTATAGCCGATGGATCCTATAGTTTAGTCTGCAGACTAACATTAGTCTGGCTATCTCAGACTGACTGGAAGACACTGACTGAGTTAGACACTGACATTGGGTCTAACATTAGAAAATAGAAAGTATAGTGAAATGTAGTTATTCTTTATGAAGTGGATGAAGCTGTCGATCCTTTAATGTTTGTTATATTTCTCATTTGAAAAAGTAATGAGCTGAAATATATTGCAGGTTACATTGATGGAAAAAAAGGAACTGAAACATTTGATCTTGCATGCATTACCACACCTGTAAGAAGTAATTACCACAACAATGTCATCAATCCAGGTATATTACATGTTCTTCATCAAATTAGCACGTTTGGCTCATCTGTATTATTCCGCTCCATTAACATTCATTTCATTGTGATGGATTGTATAATATGTTATATTACATGATTTCCAGTCTGGATCATAGTGATGAATTTATCTTTATTTTAAAAGTCTTCAGCCTCCCTGAAAATTAGAACATCATGGTTGTTTGATGCTGTAGCGCACAGATTGTTTACATTCTGACCGGTCTAACTAGGGAGCACCAATATGGCGGCCGGTGGCTTCACTTTTTTCGGGGAATCCAGTGAATAAATAGAGATCTATGATCTCCATTCATGAATCCATCACTAACTTTTGCTGAAAATCTTTTGCTGATGAAACACAATTCCCCCAATAAAGGGATGTTCTATTCTATTCTATTCTATTCTATTCTATTGTAAACAGTTTGTCCCTGTCAGCAGAACCCCCTCATGTCACCATGGCAACACTGCCCAGTCAGCATCAGTCTGAGGGAGACTACCGCCATGTTTGAATTCATGGGCTGCGTCCTCAGAAGGCCAGATTCGAAGGACGATTATGTCATAGCAAGCCGGCTGCTCCGTGATCAGAGGAAAGGTTACTTGGTGCCGAACAGTGGTGAAAATTAGAAGTTCAGTTTAATATAATCCAGTCAGTGAATAGTTCCGTCTGAGATGAATGAAAATAGTTGTTTTAATGGTTATTCAGTCACATATGTGGCGGAAAGGTTTGATTTATCTAAAGGTTTTTATCTGTTACTGTGTAAATGAGTTTGGCTGGAATTTAAGGACAGATTCCAATATATCTGCAGGGGGGGGACTATAAATCTGATAGAACTTTAATTTTTTTATTGCTGTTTTGCACAATATGCTTACCTAAGTATTTTTTGTTGTTGAATATTAGAGATTTTGCAGATATATTTTTATACATACATTGTTTAGATTTACTTCTATCTTTCTTCCACTTTTATAGAATCTAATAGAAAATCCCTTTATTGTCCCACAATGGGCAGATTTACAGCAGCAGAAATATTATTGAAAATGGTCACACAAATGTGGACCTTAGAAAAATGTAGAAAAAAGAATAGCATAATAGGGAAGAGTTAAAATTTGAACAATACAATACTGTAAAGTGTTATAAACAATATCAAACTGGAGAATAAATAACCAATTTTACAGTAATGGATATTTGAAAATAGCAGCAACATCAGAGATGTGCAGAATGCATTACATTTGATTTGATTTGTTCCTGCTCCCGGTGGTTGGAACCTTTATTCCACTCTGGATTCTCATAAGTCTTTGTTCACTTTATAATAAAAAAGAAATAAATAAACAGTTTTGAAAACTTCGGTTTTCATTCTTTTCCTGCTTTGTGTGTCAACTTTCACGGTTGTTAAGCAACAGAGCTTACGGTGGTAAAACCAGCCGAAGGGTAGATCTGTTAGAATTCACAGCCAAAACTCTTCCCGTCTCCTTATTTTCACGGACTTCCAAGGATCCAGTCTAGGTAGACCGCGTCCTTGGAGGATGCAGCCCAGGATTTCGAACAGAGCCTTTATCTCACACAGTTTCAGCCATATTTCTGTCCGTGTATGGAGCAGCTTCCGGTTCAGCATCAGCAGATAAACCGGATCGGATCGTTCAGACAGCTAAAGCGGAATCAGTTCACCTGCATGCCGGGTGTCACCCACCTCTCATCCGCCAACAGAATCCTGTCAAACAGCTCGTCTGCTTCCTGCCTGCCGTCCGCCATCTGCCCTGGTGCTGCTTGTCGCTACCCGATCCGTACCGGTAGCACGATCCGTACCATCAGCTCATTTGCGCCTGCGCGAAGAGAATATCTTCCGGGTCGCCAAAAAACAATGTAATTACGGTACTGAAAAAACTTTATTTATATCCTTAAATAATTAAAGAATACCAAACTACATCGTAAAGACAATACTGAAGACTTTTCTGGAAGAAATGGATGCTTTTTAAATTCAATCCATTGTATTGCTTGACTTCATTTTTCTGGAATAAAAATCCAAATTTTCGGGAAATGTTCCCTTATCAATGAAAAACTGCAGGTCACGAAAGGTAGCAAATTAATCTATTGTGGGATCAGTACTGCTGGAGTGCATAGTTAAAGCTACAGTGTGTAATAATTACAGGCATATAAATTCAGAAATTTAATATATTATACATAACTATGTTATTTATCATCACCTATGAGCTCAGCCTTTTAACCATAACATTTGCGTTGCCTTAGAATTCGTTATTTATAATTACATAGGAGCGGGTCTCGCAGCCATGGAGGCTGACATCTTTGCGCTACGGCAAGCGCAGAGGCAACAAACTAGCGATTGCGAGATCTCCCATGACGCTCGAAAATAACTACGGCAAGTTGAGAGAGATGAACTGAGACGGTACTGAACAGTAGATGGCAGTATTATGCCTGAGAAGCGTTTAGTCTGCCTGAAACCAAAGAAGAAGAAGAAGCAGGTATACTGCGCCTCGGTAACAAGAAAGGTAAACAAGGCGGCAGGCGTGAGTGACTTTGCAAACTGTTTGGCACTGTGTGGCCAAACATCAGACGAATGGAGGATCATGCCTACTCTGTATCACAACGAAAAGCGGCGGACACCGAACCCCCGTCATCTAAGAAGCGGAAACACGACGAGAATAAACGCAAGAGTGACAAGAAACGACAAAAAACACGGATCAACATTGGCACGGCATTTACACGATGGAAGTCACTGATGGAGGAAAAAGGTTTTCAAAGTGACGCTCAAGTTGCCAGTTTTCTCTTGGACAGGTAATTAATCCTATACACACAATTGTCTAATATCACTGCAGTTTTTGGAGTACAGGATGCTCAGACCTGTCTAAAACAATAACATGCTGCGTGATGATGCTGTTACTCTCCAGTATACTTATTCAGCAACGTCCCTGACGTTTCACAGGTAATGATTCAGTAATTTTCTGTAAAATAATTTTCTGGATATATACCTCGGTTACTTCTCTCCGGCTCCTTTGGAGATCTTCAAGCCTTTCCTCCTCTGCTCTCACCCCGCTGGCTCCCCTCTCTCGCCTGGCCCCAGCTGCACGCTCACCCCGGCCTCTCTGCCCTCTTCCTTTCCCTCTTCCTTGCCTTGTAACCCCCGTGCCACAAACAAGACTTGGACTCTGTAAACGGGGAATATATATTCTTCCAGCGAACACAATCTCGCTGTTAAACTAATGACTACAATTACTTCGTCTGTTTATATCACCATGCAAAGCAGCTCACCAAAACGTCACAACGACGTAGAAAAAATAACGGGTATATTTATTATCTTAAGTCTACATGAAATCTATACCCTACACAGACTAATGAAATACTATCTGTAAAATTATCTATGTAAACAAACCTCATCACTTGAGAAGGTAGGTGATGCGGACGTCGTGGAAGACATTTTGTCCCGTAACGCTCGCCGTACTGTTGGGGGGGAGAAGCGGTGGGGGGGAGACGTTCATGTTGCTGCAGTCTGCAGTCTGACCGCTAGATGTCGCTGAAAATTACACACTGTAGCTTTAAGAACAGAGTAAATCGAATATTTAAACAAATTTAAATATATACGCTGTGTGACGTATATTTGCGCATGCTCAGAGCAGTCAAAGTAACTATCACAAGGCGATTGAACTTTTTTATGTATTTCTGTTTTTTTATTTTTAGAAAATGTAATATTGACGAAAATACAAAGATATACAAAAAGAAACCCATGCCTCTAAAAAATACAAAAGAATAAAAAATTAAGAAAAAGGCCACCGGAAGTTATTCTGTTTGCGCACGCGCAAATGAGCTGATGGTACGGATCGTGCTTCCGGTACGGATCGGGTAATGACCATAGATATCCATAATAAATTATGGATTATGGATTACTTTATTATGGATATCTATGGTAATGACACTGCTTTTTTTTTTTTTTTTTTTTTTCAATGAACTTTATTTAAATGAAATTAGTATACAACAAACAGTATAATGAACAACACAACATTCAAGCAATACAACCAGGGGTGATTAGATAAGAACATGCAAAGACGTACATATCGAGATTGTCCTTTGAGCCTTTTGATTTGTAGAGTCTGTTATTGATTTGACATATAGACCCATATCTTTAATGAAAAAAGAAAAACAAGGTGTCCTATTAGCAAACTTGCATTTATGAATATAATATTTAGCAAAGAGTATTAGTAAGTTTATTATAAAGAAATGATCAGCAACCTTTCTATGAAATCTATAGAAACAAAATAAAACATTTTCCCAGCATAAAGAAAAATTGTTTAAGATATGGTCAATAATAAACCTGCTAAATTCAGACCAAAACCTTTGTATAACAGGGCAGAGCCAAAAAAGATGTGTCACAGTTTCTGGCTGGCTCTCACAGAAAGTGCAATTAGTGTTTATGTCGCGTTTATATTTTATCATATAATGTTTAGCAGGGTAAATTTTATGGAGAATTTTAAATGACACTTCCTTCACCTTGTTTATAATTAAATATTTATGGGGGATCATCCAAACAGTTTTGCAGTGAATATCTGGGATATAACGGCTCCAATAAAATGTTATGGCTGGACGAGAAACAGTAAGTTCTTGGAACAATCTGCGTATTCTCTCATTGCTTTTCCTAAACTCCATTGAAAAACAGCTTTTTCCCACAGATGATTCGGTTAGAGCAGGGATAAAAGGAGGAACAGACAGAGTATAATTAGTGTTTTTAAACAACATTAAGGTGCCCAAAGGTACAGCATTAACCACCATGGAGAATTCCTGGATACTAAATGGAAAATTATATATCGAGCAGAATTCATTGTAATTGATTAATCGTCCTTCTTTATTAATCAGCTGAGCCACCAGTAAAATTCCATTTTGAACCCAGGTTTCAAGATAGAGTGACCTGTTTTTAAATAGAATATCTCTGTTGTTCCAGATGAGGTATTTGTGAGGTGAGAAGTTATGTTTATAAATGAGCGTCCACGCTAAGAACACCTGCTTATGGAAAGATGAGAGTTTTACAGGGAGTTTCTCAACATTGTAATTACAATGTAGAATAAAGTTGAAGCCACCAAAGCATGAGAAAATGTGTTGTGGTATAATGTTCCAGATAGAGGTTGGATTCTTAAGGAAGTGTTTAGCCCATTTAATTTTAAATGTGTTATTTAGGGTAGAGAAATCCAGAAAGTTAAGTCCACCTGATTCATAATTATTCATAATAACACTTTTTTTGATATAGTGAGTACGATTTTTCCATATAAAATTAAGAAGCATACGATCAATATCTTTACAGATTTTATTGTCTAAATGTAAGGCGAGAGCAGCATAAGTCAGTCGGGATAATCCTTCAGCTTTAGAAATCAAAATTCTTCCTCTAAGAGATAAATCCCTCTGAAGCCACTGGTTCAGTTTATTTTTGGTTTTCTGTATAATTGGTATGAAATTAGAGGAGCATCTTAACTTCTGGTCTTTAGAGATTAAGATTCCTAAATAAGAAACTTCTTTTTTAATAGGAATATTGCAAATATCAATAGCATGACAATCCTTAATCGGTAGCAATTCACATTTTTTTAAATTTAAAAATAAGCCAGAGGCTTTGGAAAAAGTATTAATCACCTCTAAGGCCAGAGGGATCTGGTTTGCATTCCTTAAAAATAGTGTGGTATCATCTGCCAGCTGGCTGATTATGAGTACTTTGTTAGGTAAGCTGATTCCTTGTACGGTACTATTGGAGATATGAGTTGTAAGGATTTGAGAGCAAAGTAAGAATAAATAAGGTGAAACGGGACATCCTTGACGAATGCCACGTTTTAGGTCAAATCTTGGGGTGGTGCCGTTTGGCAATTTAATAACACTATTGGAGTTGGAGTATAATGTTCTGACTGCATTACAAAAAAAGGGGCCAAAACCAAATTTTATTAAAGATTGAAAAATGAATTGATGTTCTATTGTGTCAAAGGCCTTATAGAAATCAAGGAAAAGAATAAAACTTTCATCAGGTACTAGATATGAATAATCAAGTAAGTCTAGAACAAGTCTAATATTGTTAGAGATGTGTCTGTTCCTCATAAAGCCGGATTGTGTCTCATCAATAACTGTGTCCAAAACCTCTTCAAGTCTGTAAGCAAGTATTGAAGCCATAATTTTATACTCATTATTGAGTAGACTTATAGGTCTCCAATTATCAATAAATAGAGGGTCTTTGTTTGGTTTTGGAATGAGTGTTATTAGGCCTTGAGTCAGGGTAGGAGGGAGAGTGTTGTTCTCTATACTTTCTAGAAATAACTGTAAGAGAAATGGAGCTATATGCTTAGAGAATGATTGATAAAACTCAGCAGATAAACCATCTGTGCCGGGGGATTTATTGGCCTTGAGTGCATTAATGCACTTAGAAATTTCCTCCACGGTAAAAGGGCTGTCACAGTAGTTTTTATCTTCTACATCAATAGTTTGTACATTTTTTATTTTGTTAAGGAATGATTCTGATATCTCTTTATTATATTTTGAGCTGTATAAATTAGAGTAAAATTTAGTACAAAAGGTTGCAATTTCTTTAGGATTGTTTGATATAATGTCATTGATATTTAGTTGGAAAATAGAGTTTATTCTTGATCTGTATTTTTCAAGTCTAAAAAAGTAAGCAGAATTTTGTTCTCCTTCTTCCAGCCATCGTTTCCTGGATCTGATGAAGGCACCTTCAGCCTTGTGTTTATACAAAGCATCCAGTTTATTCTGATTTTCTATTAAATTTAATTTATCTACCTCTGAAACTTCTTCTTGGCATTTTAGGTAATAGGAGGAGATCTTGCTTATGACTTCTTCCTCTTCAGCTTTCTTTAATTTAGAGATCTGACTTCCGTAATGTCTTAAAAATTTGCTAATTTCAAATTTGAGAAGTTCCCAATTGTTGCAAAAGGACCCTTCCTTGTTAGCCTTATTCCAATAATATAAAATTAATTTATTAATATGAGTTTTAACCACATCATGCTTTAGCAAGGAGTTATTTAGTTTCCAGTAAGCACATTTATACGATGTATTATCTGGGGTATAAATCTGGATGCTAATGCGAATAGCTCTATGATCTGTAAGAGGGGTGGCAAGTATGTTAACATCGATATTGTCTTTGTTAATATATTTGGAAATAAGCCAAAAATCTATCCGGGATTGTCTGGAACCTATTTTATTGCTCCATGTAAAGATTTTGTCATCTGGGAATTTTTCTCTCCATATATCAACAAAATTAAATTTCTCCATAAAATTTTTTAAACTGGCACTGAATGAGGACTGCGGCTTATGGGGCCATCTGTCCATCGTATTGTCTAAGGCAATGTTAAAGTCCCCACCAATTAAAATGACTGAGTTTGGGTATTTGGCAAGCCAAAAAGTAATTCTGTCTTCTAATGATTCAAATAGTTTGTTGTTTTCCGTTATATTATTGTAGCCATATATATTAACAACAATAAAGGTATTGTTAAGGCATTCAATTACTGAGCAAATGTAGTGACCTAGAGTGTCGCAAACAGTATGTAAAACAGATCCAGCGGAGCGCTCAGATCCGTGAGATAACCACATATCATTTCCCCACTGGGATTTCCAGAAATTAACATCAGAAGATGTAGAATGACTCTCTTGAAAAAAACAAAAATCTGTTTTAAATTGTTTGGCAAATAAGAATAATGCTTTGCGTTTACCTGTTTGTCTTAACCCCCTGGCATTGAGAGATACAAATGAAACGGACAGAGTTATTTAAGAAGAATAACAGAGAATAAAGAACAAGAACTACACTTTTATGATAAAGTGGAGTTCACAAAGGAAGGGGACCGATAGCTGCACGCTTTAAGTAGTAAATCGGTAAGAGGCCTGACTATTGAGGTTCTCCTATTCTGCAGAATCTGTTAGTTCAATCTCTAACCTTCTGCTCTCTCTGCTTTTCCTCAGAGTAGCTTTGCCTCGTCTGTTCCTGTTTGGCTGTGACGTCATCCTGGAAAAAAACATCAGCTGTGCTGCTTCTATCAACACCCTTGTTAATAGATGTTGGAGATCGGCCTGTTTTCCAGTGTGGTCCTGTTTCTCTGACCGTGACTGAGTGGATGTGCTCTCTTCGTCCTCTGGCATGGGAGCTGCCTTGGAGCTCGTCTGCCTGGCTGTGTGTTTCCTGGACGGGGCCGCCTTTTACAGCTGCTTGTATCTCTGCTTCTGTCTCCTTGAACCCCACTCGGCCTCGGCAGATGGCTGCTCACACTGAGCCTGGTTCTGCTGGAGGTTTCTTCCTGTTAAAAGGGAGTTTTTCCTCTCCACTGTCGCTACAAGCATGCTTAGTGTGGGGGATTGTATTTGAGTCAATGAGTCAATGCAATCAACTGGTTTTCCTTAGATAGAAAACTTTGTATCAATTTGACTGTATGATCTGGTTGAACTGTAAAGTGCCTTGAGATGACATGTGTTGTGAATTTGGCGCTATATAAATAAACTGAATTGAATTGACTAAATTTTTATAATACAAGAGAGATAATTGAAAAATAGCACTTTGCTATCTATTTTGGTTTGACTATGGTACTTTAGGATCTTACAACAAGAACAAGGTAAGACTTCATAACTAAATTATATATTGCCTAAAGGAGAATATATAATGTTCAAAAGAAACGGGAAGTGAGAGTATAGTGTAGAACACATTTAAATTGTAAATGAAAAGGTGAAATTATCCTTTCTAAGGATTCGTTGAGAGTGAAGGAGGGAAGACTTCTGATCTGTTGATAAATCCACGACCTCCAACGAAGTACGCTGGTTTACCTTCCTTGCGGGCTTTGTCTATCAAGGGCCAAAGTTTATTGCGTCGTTCTCTGTCATCCTTGCTCATGTCCTCAGTGAATCTCAGTTGGTTGTTCTTCAGGTACGAAGATGTCTTGGCTGCTTTCCATATTGCATCCCTGAGGACTCTGGAGGAGAACTGAATGATGATCCCTCTAGGTTTGGTGTTACCTGTACGTTTGGCTCCAAGACGGTGAACAGTGTCAATGGCATCAGGCAGCTTGTGTTTATGTTCTGGTAGAACTGACTGGCAGATTTCTATCACTTTTCTTCGTATGTCTTCTTTCTCAGTTTCTTCAGCTCCTTGTAGTTTGAGATTCCACCTCCTGGAATATCTTTCCAACTCATCAAGCCTCTGCTGGTAGTTATCCACACGACCTTCTTCTCTTGTAACTCTTTTTTCCAGATCATTCACTTTCATCTTCACATCATTCATTTCAGCGCATACAAAGTCAATAGTCTTTTTGAGACCCTCAATCTTTAGCGTGTTCTCCTGCACCATGCTCTCTAGATTGTCAGAACGGACGTTTATCAGCGCAGACAGACTGGATATGATCTCATTTGTAGCAGAAGGCTCCGGGTTGCTGCGATCATTCATAACCTTCTTCGGTGCTGGCGATTTCAGAGGTGTAACAGGTAGGGCAGGAAAGTCGGTAATTTCTTCCTCATGCAAAGTCAAAGTTAAGGGGGCAGCTGCGTAGTTGTGGCTGTTATCAAATAATGCGTTACCGGTTGAAGCGCTAGCCACGTTAGCTTCGCTAGCCCTCTCAGACGCAGGCTTGGACTTGGATGTTTCTAGACCTCTTTTAGCTCCTTTCTGGTTCGGCATTTTGTTGTAAATAATATGTATTATGTTGTCTATGTTGTCTTGTAGAGAATCAATAGTGCTATTGTTTATATAGTCAGGGCTTTACCGCGTTTTATGAATTTTATGTGCAGATCTCGGTAGGGAGCGTCTCCTCACTCCGCCATCTTGAAGCGGTGGGTAATGACACTGCTGCTGCTGCTGCTGCACTTCTTCTTCTTTGGTTTAATGGCGGTTGGCAGGCATCGTTTAGGTGCGCATTACCGCCACCTTCTGAATAGGAGTGAGGATCAGGATTTTAAACTGTGCCTACATTCTATAATATACACCTGCTTTCCTAAAAACAAAACAAAATAAAACTTAAATAAAAGCTTGATTACAGTAAACTGAAAACATTAAACTGTACCTTCTCTTGATCAAATTTATTTCTAAGTAAATGTATTTATTTTATTCATTTCAGGCAACTGCATGCTAGTGAATGCCAGTTCATTAGTTCAAACTTATGAGGCATATTATAAAAATAAAAAAATTAAAACTGGCCTGAAAGTATGGAGGAGGATTAGGGCCACTGAAAACATATTAAAAGTTAACAGATTTTTAAATATTGTTTCAGTTTAATATGGGAAAAAAGTCCTAATTCTGACTTTAATCTCAGAATTGTGGATCTTAATGTAGATGGGCCCCATGAAGGCAGAGATGTGACGCGCTCAGCTTCACTGACAGAGATGGGAGCTGTTTGGGAGGAACAGGAACACACTGGTGGAAAATCTTACGTCCCTGAGGGGCCCCTGGTGATGCTGTTTGATTAATGGAAGAACAAAAGGTGATTTCTGGGTTCCCTGGGGTGCATTGCCCCGGCTGGGCGTCGGGTTTCGGGTTCTATAGGCCGGTGTATGCCCAGCTGTCCGGCCCCGCCACAGCTGGGCAGGGTGGGGGGGCATGGACATTAACACCTATGGCAGATATTTACCCCTTCAGGGGTTTACACTCTGCTAGTGGGGGAAGGGGAGGGAGGGGCAGTGGGAATGATCTTGGCCTGGATGTCTTTTGTCGCTTGTGTGGTGAGTGGTTTGAATGTTAACGTAGGGGAGGAATAAGAGCTCCGTTGGGGGGCGGGGGGTGGTGGTGCTGGGATGTGGATGTTAGAAAGGCTTCAGGTCTGGCTCCCGGTCTCGGTTCTGGTCCGTACCATCCCCTGGTGGAGGTTTCATCCGGGGTGAGGGTTCTGCATGTTGTGTGTGGGCTGGCCGGCCAGGGTTCTCTCCCTTTTTATTTATTTATTTATTTTTTTTTTTTGATGGACAGGAAGGCGTGATTGACACTGTGTTGGGGGACTTTCAGGTTGGGGTCTGAACTGCTCCCTCTGCCAAGCACATCTCAAATCTCTGCCAAGTGCAGAGCCCATTTCCCCCGTCCTGCCCCTCTGCTCGGCGCCTGGGCTCCCCGGTGCACTGGTGGAGCTTGGGGTTTGGGGGTGGATGCCCGGGTGACTACCGCAGGGCTTGGCTTGCCGAGGCCGGCTGGGGCTCCCGCCTAGGGATGGGGCGCCCCTTGGGCCTTGGATCCCTGGGGCCCATGGCCGGATTCACTTCGGCTGGTTGCCGGCGGCTGAGCCCGCTGACTCGTCCCCTCGTCTCAGCCCCTTCCTCGGGGCTGTCTCTCCTCCTCCCTTGGTAGGGGTCGGATTTCCTGGGTTGGTCCTTCCTTGGCGTCTTTGTTCTTGGGGTCCCTTTGGGCGTCTGGGGCTTTGGGTCTCCTGGTGCTGGACTCAGTGCTCTGGGGGGCCGCCTCTTCGGCTCTTCCCAACCACTATTGAGCATTTTTTCTTTGGATAAACTTTACACGCACAAGTGCATGTCATGATGTTACAAAGTACTGACCCAAAAATGCAAAAAATCGAACAGAGAGACCAGGGGAAAGGTTTACCGGGTTTTATTGAAGAAGTAAAACAAGGGGAGAAGTGATGCTCTGAACACAGCTCAACCGGAATTGCAAAGTGAGGGGGTGACACAGTGGTTAGTTCAGGCTCAGTGGGGAATTTGACTCGTGAAACTTGGAGAAGAGGTTTTGGTTGCCGACTCACGTTTCCAGAGAAGTTGTTGTATCCTTGACTCCTGTCTGTGTGCCGTGGTTCCAGTGTTTCTCTGATTTGGTGGAGGGCGGAACAGGTTTATCCAGAATGCGGCTGATAGTTGGAGAACGGAGAAACTGACTGCCACTCAGATTTCCTGCTGTACTTGAACGTAGTGGAGAATAACCGCTTTCTCAGTCGAAAGCTCAAACGATCTCTTGGGGAAAGTGGATCCAAACCTCCTGTTTGAATCCCAGCTCAGTTTGAAGCTCAGTTTATCCTTCCAGGGTGTGAAGGTCCGAGAGATCCAGTTAGCAGGAGAACTTCCTTAAACTGGCAAACACTCTGGCGTCGAAGAAGTGGCAGGTGTGTGAGGAGGCGGACCAGAACCAGGCGCCTCCTGGTGGATGAAGGGAGACAAACACAGAAACACAAACACACAGACAGGAGTCCTGACAGTGCACTTTCACAAACAACTACAGGTGCTTGGTTCCAGGTACTCAGAGATTCACTTCCATACAGAAAGCCCATATTCTGATCTTCAGCTCCCACAGAATACATGTCAGATTAAATAATAGTACTTATACTTCAGCGATAGTATCTAGGTGTTACTTTATTGTAGATCTTATACTCTGTCCATTGGTTGTGCTGTTCTTTTTTTCCATCTCTTTGCAGGTGATGAAGCCGACTGAGATGTTTTATCATTATCTCCCTTTTATCTCCTCTTTCTTTCATCTTTTCTCCTTTTTTCTGTTTTTCCTCTTCTGTTCTACTTACATTGCAGTGTCCATATAATCTGTAAAACTCCCTGCATAATTATAATAAAGCAATTTATATGCATAAATCAAGCAGAACACTGTGGCAATAGACGTACTGCTCCACTTGTGAAAGTAAAATCTGTTGGGCTCTTTTTGGCATCAAGACAATTATTCTTATTGCCACATTGCCAGATGTAAAAAAAAAAAAAAATAGAAAAGCTGGCTCCTTGCTTTAATGCAGAGCTGCACACTTTGAAGCAAAAATGCTAGGAAACTGGAGAGAAAATATTTTTCCACAGGCCTACAGGAATCCTACCTAGTCTGGAAAAATATTTTACTGCTGTATAAGAGGACCTGTTGTAAAGCAAGAGCAGCATATTTCCCCTCATTAATAGAAAATAAGAATTATCCTTTATTTCTTTTTAATTCAGTTGCCAAACTCACCCAGAGCCATAGCTCTGTTGAACCGTTCATTCCACCTGCTCTTAGAAGTAATGATTTTATGGGATTCTTTATAAATAAGATTGATCTTATTAAAAATAAGATAATTAGCACTCCTCACACTTCAAGTTATAACAATCTTGGAATGGAATTAAAGGACAAAAACTTTATACCATGTATTTATTGTTCTCTACACTTCTAAAAAGAATTGTTTGGATTTTAATTAGATTTTTAGGAACTTTCTACTGTGAAAGGAAAAAAACACTTTCCTGTTAGCACAGAGAGAATCCCAGGTAAACCTGAAGATCTAGATGCAGCATGAGCTTTAAAGTGTCCACAGCAAGGTAAACTATTACCTAAACTAGCACAATGATTCAAAAAAACTTTACTGCTGAGCGTTTTTTACTCCACGTGATTTGATTTGTTACTTAATGAGATTCTACACAGACATGCAACATTGCGATTATTTTCTCCTATCAGCTTGGTTTCCATAATGCAGCTCATTATTTGTACCATCTCAAAGACAAAATATATTTCAGAAACTTAGAAATGGTTTCTGTCAGCTTTTATTTATATTTTGGTCAATAAAAGCAAAAAATAAATTCAGAACTCATTTCGGTGGAGTCCATCTTTTTCCTGCTGCCTTCAGGCTGAACCGCAGTAACCTCTGCCTGTGTCACAGCGGTCACAGGTTATCCTAAAGGTGACACGAAAAGCTAACAGACAACTTCAAAAGAAGCAACTGCTCCTATGTCGTCAGAAGGGTGTGTGTGTGTTTTGTGCTGTTATACTTTACATAAATGGGATTCACAATGACACATGATGTAGGACAGCGACCCCTCACCCCCCGCTCGGCCCCTGGGTGAAGGGCACAGCTGTAAGAGGCGGTGAAAAATGCAGATAGATAGGATTATTCTCTGTTTCTGATTGGAGCATCAAAGGTCTCCATGGCGATATGTGAGCTGCAGGTCAATCATCCCAGCAGGTTGATGCTCCATATGAATTAACGAGAGAGACACTGCATTTCCTGCTCAGCAAACAAGAGGTTGTGTCTGATTATTAAACCATATTTCAATCTGAAAAACTCTGCTGAGCTTTATGGGGAGATCCAGTGGACTGCGTGAGCTGATACTAGAGCCTCACTCAGGGACCTGGAAGATGGAAGTCCAGTTGGAAAACACAGGTTGAGAGAACCTGTCCATGATGAGCAAGCATGAAGCGACAGTGGAAAGGAAAAACTCCCCGTTGGGAAGAAACCTCTGGCAGAACCAGGCTCAACATGGAGGTCTGCTGCCGGACCGGTTGAGATGAGACGTGGAACGCAGTAAGAGTCCAGGAGGAATGACGCTCTGATGAAGCTTTAGCTACGATGGTGGAGGAGGGGCTGGAGGGGGGTGGAAACAGGGTCATCTGGATGAAGTTGAACATAGCACAACCACCGCCTGTGCACTAGGTAGCAGACGAGTAGCGGTTCGGAGGCCTTTAATGATGAAATTTGGATGCTGATTGGCTTTCGTTGAGGTGTGGTTCAAAGCTGATTGGCTGTGTCATAGGCGGATGAAGGTGAGTTATCCGTTTATTCAGTTGAACTTCCTCCTAGGCTCAATTTGGAAACCTTCACTGCACTAACAGCTGGGATGCTGTTTGAGAGCTGATGTTGCTGGTGAAGATTCTCAGTCATCCAAGTCAGAGTCATTCTAAAAAAGATGAAAAACAATCCATTGGACTTTGTTTCCAAGTTTTGAGGACGTTTCGCTTTCCATCTAGGAAGCTTTTTCAACTCCTGGTTCTGCTGGAGGTTTCTTCCTGTTCACTGTTTCCTCTCCACTGTCCCTACAAGCATGCTTAGTGTGAAGGATTGCCTTGGGGTCAATGAGTAGATGCATTTAGCTGGTTTTCCTTAGCTGATTGAAATTGAAAAAGCTTCCTGGATGGGA